TGAAAGGAACACACAGAGTCACTGTACCAAAAAGAAATGGTCAATGTTCAACCAAGAGCCAGTGGTACTGAAGGAAGAAATCCATGATACATTGAAGGTATGAGCAAAGAACAAGGCCCTTTGGAATAGATGGAATACAAATTGAAATCTTTCAACAAAGTGATATAGCACTGGAGGCACTGACTCATCTATGTCATGAAATTTGGAAGTTAATTACTTGGCCAAATCACTGGAAGAGATCCATTATTTGTGTCCATTCCAAAGAGAGGTGACCCAATGGAATATGAATATCATCAGACAATATCATTAATATCACATGCAAGTATAACCGTGCTAAAGATAATTAAAAATGGCTGCAACAGTACATTGATAGGGAACTGCCAGAGATTCAAGCTAGATTCAGATGAGTATGTGAAATGAGAAATATCATTGCTGATATCAGATGGATCTTGGCTAAAAGCAGAGAAAACCAGAAAGATGTTTACCTGCGTTTTATTGACTATGCAAAGGCTTTCAACAGTGTGGATCATGATAAGCTATGGACAAGACTGTGGAGAATGAGTATTCTGGAACACTTAATTGTGCTCATGAGGAACCTGTACATAGATTAGGAGACAGTTATTTGAACAGAACAAGGGGGCACCAATTGGTTTTAAATCAAGAAAGTTGTACACCAGAGCTGTATTCTTTCATCATACTTATTCAATCTGTATGCTGAACAAATAATCCAAGAAACTGGATTATATGAAGAAGAACATGACTCATTAACAGCCTGTGATATGCAGATGATACAACCTTTCTTGCTGAAAGCAAAAAATACTTAAAATACTTACTGATAAAGATCCAAGACAAAAGCCTTTGGTATGAGTTGCACCTCAGTGAAAGAAAACAAAAATCCTCACCACTGGACCAATATAGAACATCATGATAAATGGAGAAAAGATTGAAATTGTCAATACTTCATTTTGTTTGGATCCACCATCAACACTCATGGAAGCAGCAGTCAAGAAATCAAATGACATATTTTATTAGGCATATCTGCTGCACAAGAAGTCTCCTTGAAGTGTTGAAGAGCTAAGATGTCACTTTGAGAACTAAAGTGCTCCTCATCCAAATCAAGGTATTTTCAATAGTTTGATATTCATGTGAAAGTCCAACAGTGAATAAAGAAGACAATAAAAGAATTGATATATTTGAGTTTGGGTGTTGAAGAAGATTGCCAAACAAATCTGTGTTGGAAGAAGTACAACCAGAATGTTCCTTAGAAGCTAGGATGGCGAGATGTCTTCTCTCATACTTCTAACATGTTATCAGGAGGGACCAGTCCCTGGAGAAAGTCATCATGCTTGGTAATAGGAGGATCAGTGAAATAGAGGGACATCCCCAACAAGATGGATTGGTACAATGGCAGCAGCAATGGCCTCCAGCGTAGTAGCACTTGTGAGGCTGGCACAGGACTGGCCTGTGTTTCCTTCTTTTGCACATAGGGTTGCTATGAGTTGAAACCGACTGGATGACACCTAGTAACAATAACAATGCAATCCCTAAAGTGAAGGGACTGGCTCAAGTCCTTATGACTTAACACCACTTGCTCTTCTGATTTACTAACTTTCGAACCCAAGGTTGGTTTGAACCACAAAGTCGGCAGTTCAACCCACCAGTTGCTCTTTGGAAACCTCATAGAGGGTTGCTATGGGTTGGAACCAACTCCATGGCACTTAACAACAACTAACTTTTATGGAGTCTTGGAGTGGTTCTGTAGGATAAGCACTTTACTGCAAAGTTGGTTTGAACCACCACCACTCAACAGTACTTAACAACAACAAAAGAAAACAACTGAATTTTACAAGTGCCATGATAGCATAGTGGAATACGAACTGGTCTGCTAACCATAAGGTCAGCAGCTCAAATCTACCAGTTGCTCCATGGGAGAAAGATGATGGTTTCTGCCCCCCATAGAGATTCATAGCTTCAGAGACCCTGTACAGGATCACTATGTTAGAACTGACTCGATGGTATACCACCACCACCACTAACTTTTATGGAGTCCTGGTGTGGTGCTGTAGGATAAACACTGGACTGCTAACCCCACTGTCAGTGATTCAAAACCTACCAGCCATTTCTCAGAAACTCTATATAGGGTTGCTATGAGTCAGAAACTACTCAACAACACCAACTAATTTTTGTACTCAAGAAACATCTTGCTGTGTTATTTTGCTAGAGGCACTTTAGAGAAGATAGCAAGAACCACAGTAGGTTTTACCAAGAACTCTGGGTTCCTGTGATGTGAACATGAATGCAGGAATACAGGAGAGCAATACAATTCTCAAGCTCCCATTCTGATGTTCAAATACAGCTTAATGAGGAGGAGGGCTGGGGCTTAAAGACTTTAAATTGCAGGTGGAATTTAGTGGGTGATCTGAGAAAGATGGTTTATTCATGCAATGGTTCATTCCCTGCTGGAATGAATACGGTTTCCTATGTTTCCAGGGGTAGTGCAAATGGTTTACATGTGACTACTACCCAAAAGATTGGCAGTATGAATCCATCCAGAATCACACAAAAGAACCACCTAGAAATATACTTCTGTAAGATTACAGCCATTGAAAACTGTATGGGGTATAGTTCTACTATGACACACAAAGAATCACTATGAATTGGAATGGCTAGTTGACAACAATTTTGGTTTGTTTATTTTCCACCCTTTGGGTATAATTTAAGAAACCCTGGTAGTACAGGGGGTTACATGTTGGGCTGCTAACCATAAGCTCGGCAATTTGAATCCACAAGTTACTCTGCAGAAAAAAGATGAGGCTTTCTGCTTCTGTAAAAACTTACAGCCTCAGAAACCCTATGTAAGATCTCTATGAGTTTGAACGGCTTGACACACACCACCATCACCGGTATTTTTCAGGCTCTAGGGGAAAGTGAACTTTCCAGGATCTTTAGGAAAGTCACACCTTGTCAAAGTGTGTGTTGTTGTTAAGTGCCATCGAGTTGCTTCTGACTCATAGTGATCCTGTACAGGGTTTCTGAGGCTGTAAATCTTTATGGGAGCAGAACGCCTCATCTTTCTCCCGTGGAACTGCTGGTAGTTTCAAACTGCTGACAGTGAGGTTCGCAGCCCTATTCGTAACCATTACACTACCAGAGCTCCTTAAAGTGTGTGTAGGCAGGCACACCAAATTGTATTATGGTTCACTTTATTGTGTTTTGTGTTTTAGTTGTTATGTGCTGTGGAGTCAGTTCCAACTTATAGTGACCCTGTATAGGGTTTCAGAGGCTGTAAATCTTTATGGGAGCAGAAAGCCTCATCTTTCTCCTGCAGAACAGCTGGTAGTTTCGAACTGACTGTGAGATTAGCAGCCTGATTGTGCTTTGTAGATATTATTTACAAATTGAAGGTTGTGGCAACCCTGTTTCCAGGAAGTCTATGGGCACTATTTTTCCAGAATCACGTGCTCAATTTATGTCTCTGTCACATTTTGGTATTCTCAAAATGCTCCAAACTTTTTTATAATGCTCCTTTACACTTAATGCTGTTGTTGTTTCTTATCAGCTGTTTAGTCAATTCTAACTCATAGCAACCCTGTATAGGTTTTCCTAGAAGCAGCTGGCGAATTTGAACTGCTGACCTTGCAGTTCACACCCACCTTGTGGTCCAGTGCATTATCCCACAGCACCATACCAGGACTACAGTACAGAGTAAACATAACTTTTATATTCAGAGGGAAATCAGAATATTCATGGGACTTGCTTTATTGTGATAAGCACTTTATTGCAGTGGTCTGGAACTAAAACCACAATATCTCCAATGTGTGACTGTTTATGATTTAAATCAGGATCTAACCTATGTGCACTTTAAACTCTCCCATAGCCAGGGTCAGGAATCTAGGGATAGAAATAGGAGTGTTCTGGAATTCCTATTCTTCGCAATGTTATTCATTGTTTGTTATGGCCCATGCAGTTGAATACCTTTGCATAGTCAATAAAACACAATGATTGCTATCTTCTCAATGTAGCATCACTTATCCCACCTCCTCCCTGTGTTCCTTGTTTCCATTCCTCCTTCTTTCCCAGCCTTCCGAACTCTGCTGCCATTTTGAGCTTAAATGGTTGACTATTTTTTGGTGTGTATAGCAGTCCTGGTGTGGCGCTGTGGATTAATGCTCCAGACTGCAATGCCATTTGAACTGCAAGGTCAGTGGTTCAAGCTCACCAGCTTCTCCTTGGAAACCCTATACAAGGTCGCTATGGGTCGGAACTGACTCGATGGCACTTAACAACAACAACAATGTAGCTCACTAGTATTGTTGTCCTTTATATACCTACAAATTGCTTGGCTGAAAGTTTTCCATGAACTTTTTGAAGCCCACTCGTGTGTGTGTGTGTATATATATATATATATATATATGTGTGTGTGTGTGTGTGTGTGTGTGTGCGTGTGCGTGTGTGTGTGTGTGTGTCTCACCAGTTTTGTTCCCCTAGAGAACACAAACTAAAACACACCTGAAGACCCAGCAAGTGCTGGGTAGCACCAGGACAGCCCAATCAAAAATGTGATGGCTCACGCTACTCTGAAACTTGACCTTGGCTTATTTTATCACGAATTTTCTGGAAAATGGCCAAAGAGTTCTTCAGTAAGAACATGCACCAACACGAGAAACCTCAGAGATCTATCCCATGGTTTCTCCTCTTTTGTAGACAAAGAAACAGAGGTGCAAACAGTAAAATGGCTTAAAGGTGGTACAGCTAGTAAGTGGTAGAACTACGAATAGAGTTCACTTCTCCTGACTCCAACGTGGTGCTCCTGTCAGGGCATGTTACCTCTGGTGCATAGCACTGAAACCACAATGAGATTAGTGGAACATGTGCAGGGGAGAACAGTTTGCCTCTATCAACTGAAGTGATGAAACAGAAAAGTAGGATAGAGATACATTAGGTAATAAAACTGTCTTTGTGAGCCAAAGAGATTAAAGAGCATTGAACTGGGTACTCACATGGTGATACATCCACAAAGTCCGGGTCAATGTTATGTAGCAGTTCCACTCTGGGGGAGGGGCTTCCTTCACTAGAAAAGAATTTGTAGACAACATTCATTTCCTCTCTCAAACAGGTGATGAGCTATTTTAATATTTCCTTTCCTTGTACTTGTAGGAAATAACAAAACTACCAGTTAACAACTTTGTCATGAATTCAGAGGTCTACAAGACCTGAGGTTGGTGAACTTGTAAGTATTCATCATCTGCCTATATTCTAACAATGATGTTCTGAGACTTATCTGCCATATATATTGCCAATAACTCACTATATACCTTCCTCATTGGAAACACTAGGAGGGTAGGTTAAAAGATCCCCAAGTTTCTTTTCAGCACTAACGTAGGTTGTGGTTATATTTATATGTACACTTCAAAAAAAAAAAATCTTGACGAGATCTAGGTTTTTCACGTGTATTTGTATTAAATCTAAGATCCATGTTACAAATCTGGATTCTTCAGTATCTAGGACAGGTGACTCCCATAATCATTATCTTAAAAAGTTGGGAGCATAACCACCACCAAATATATGTGAGGAGTGAAGGAAAAACCCAGGTAATTTTGTCAGTATAGACTCAGCCTTATGGTAGAAGTTGTGTATCATTCCAATCACTGGAACAATACTGAGTGTTACTTGATAATTCAACATTGTCTAGTAGCAAAGGTTGCCAAATATCATTAACAGAGGATATAAAAACATCTGAATGACCAATAAGGCTCTTGATTTATATTCTAAAACAGCACAGCATTAACCCACTGCTACATCGCTTCTTTCTACTAGTGGGTGTTGTTAGGGGGTGTGGATTTCTGGAACCAGTAGAATTAAAAATATATATATTTAAGTTAACATTGGCAGCTTTGCTCTTACCAAGTAAGGAAACGCTGAAATTAATAAAACAAAACAACAAGTGAGTGAATAAAGTAAAATGAGAAAGCTAAAGAAAACGTCAACTGCCATCATTATTTCATTAGAAAATGTTAACAGCCAAAAGTATGAAGAACACAATCTCAGAATAAATACCAATCCTTTAAAGTGAATACATTTAGCTTTAGAATCCTGTAAGAATTGTCCCTCTCTGCTCTATAAAATTTACTACCTAGAGATTTTAGAAAGGGAATCCTCAAGATGCCTCTGGTCTTGGGAGGCAGGAGGGACAGCAATAGCGGAGAGCGCACCTTTCTTTTCAAGTATCACCCTGAGGACACTTAGCTATATGGGTATGCTGGAGACTGTCAACCAGCTCTGATGCAGGAATTGGGTTTAGGGAAGAATGAAAGCAGAGAAACCATTTGGCTCTGGTCCTCTGGTAGGAGGCAATACCTAGAAACATGAAAACTAATGCAGCACACAGAAGAAGGGAAACAAAAAGTTTGGATTACAGAGTCTTACACACAGCATGCAGAGAACTGCCTCCCAACCTAGCACACTTAACCATATTGCATAAAACATAAATTGTATTTTTAATGCATGTTGAATTGCCAAGAAAGGAAGGGCAGCTCTTGAAGACCAGAAATCCAAAGGGGTAAGTGTACATTGGAGCTGACATTTATTTGCCTTAAGGTATTTGTCCATCACTGATGTCCAGACCAAAGTTTTAATGAGCAGCAAATAGGGACAAGGGATAAAGCCAGGTTGCGGCGCGGTGGATGTGGGGGTGGTGGGGGAGGAGAGTGAAGAGCAACGGGGATAGAGAGGGTTCTATGGGGAAAGAAAATCAGATCAGAGATTACTACAACTGGAGTTCCCACAAAAGTGAGAGGGCTACACTTAATTTGTTTTGGTTTTAGTCCTTGATTGGGTTACAAAGGAGAAAAGTCCTAATCACAAGCTTGGGTGTTAGACCTAATTTCGTACTATTTTTGCGACCTGAAAATCCCTAAGCTGAATATTGTTGTTGTTGCTGTTGTTAAGTGCCATCGAGTCAGTTCCGACCCATAGCGACCCTGTATAGGGTTTCCAAGGAGCAGCTGGTGAGCTTGAACCACCGACCTTGCAGTTCAAACAGCTTTGCAGTCTGGTGCATTAACCCACAATGCCACACCAGGACTTCAAGCTGAATATTCGGTTTACAGAAATCCCTAGTTATTAGATCCAAATGTAAATAATCCTTAGAGAAATACGTTTTCCAAGGAGCAGCTGGTGAGCTTGAACCACCGACCTTGCAGTTCAAACAGCTTTGCAGTCTGGTGCATTAACCCACAGTGCCACACCAGGACTTCAAGCTGAATATTCGGTTTACAGAAATCCCTAGTTATTAGATCCAAATGTAAATAATCCTTAGAGAAATACGTTTTAAATATAGACTAAAAGCATTTCAAATTGATTATTGACATTTTTTGGAGTCCTGATATGGCACTGTAAAATAACCACAACTGGGCTCAGTTCAAACCTACCAGCCCCTCCTTGGAAACATTCTTCAAGGTTCCTATGAATCAGACCTGACTCGACAGCACTTAACAAACAAAAACACTGACATTTTTAGGCAGATAATTCTTTGTTGTGGGCAGCTGTCTTCTGCACAGCGGGTTGTTTAGCAGCATCTCTGACCTCTCCCCATGAGATGCTCATAGCACTTCCCTAATTGTGACAACCAAAAATGTCACCAGATATTGCTAATGTCCCCTGGGGAACAACTGTCCTGATGAAGAAAAACTGTCATAGATAAAAGTCCAAAGAACACAAATTCATAATCAAAAGTCTTCAAAGGAAGCAGGAAAGAAATCACCATGAGTGAGAATTACAGAAACAACCAGACCCTTAAAGAAGGTGGTGGTGGTGGTTATATGCCGTGGAGTTGGTTCCAACTCACAGAGGCCCCTGCACAGGGTTTCCGAGGCTGTAAATCTTTATGGGAGTAGAAAGCCTCATTTTTCTCCTGTGGAACAGCTGGTAGTTTCGAACTGCTGACCCTGTGGTTCACAGTCCTATTCGTAACCATGACATATTGCATTTGTTAGATACAGAATATAAAATAAACATATTAAATATAGTTAAAGTAGTAAAGAAAATATTTAAAAAATACAATGAGGAAAAAATACCTGTTCAAAATTGCCTAGTTAGATTTGAAAAACAATCAACTAGAACTTCTAGAAATAAAATTTTATATAACTGAAATTGGAAACTCAATGAACAAGTTAAATTAGGTTAGAAACAGCAGAATGGCAATTGAGTTCACTAGCAGATGAAGCTGAAGAAATTATATAGTAAGCAACATAATCAAAGCGCTGAAGAAAATATGGAAAGAGATGTGAGGAACAGAGTAAGAAAGTCTAATATATATATATTGTTGTTAAGTACCGTCGAGTCAGTTCCGACCCATAGCGACCCTGTATAGGGTTTCCAAGGAGTGACTGGTGAGCTTGAACTACCAACCTTGTAGTTCAAATGGCTTTGCAGTCTGGCGCATTAACCCACAGTGCCACACCAGGATATATATATATATGTTTAATCAGATATTCAAATGCAAAAAAATAGAAAGACTGGATGAAAGTCAATATTAGAAGAAATGAATGAGAATTTTCTAAAAATTGTTAAGAGATGTCAGTTTTTAGATTTTCAAATCAAGCAAACTCAGAATATAAAAAGAAAAGAAAAAAGTACCCAGTCCAACACAATATAAGAAAACTTCAGAACATCCAAGGCAAGGAGAAAATATTAAAAGGCTCCAGATAAAAAGGTAGAGTAACCACAGAGGTACAAACAGACTAACACTGGATTTCTCAATAACAGTACTAGAAGTGAAGACAGCAGGGTAATAGCTTTAACATGCTGGGAAAAAATATTTTCATCCTTGAATTTTTATGGTGGTGATGGTGGGGGTTGTGTGCCGTATTCTGACTCATAGCAACCCTGTAAAGGGTTTCCGTGGCTGTCAGTCTTTACAGGAACAGAAAGCCTCATCTTTCTCCAGCGGAACAGCTGGCAGATTCAAACTGCTGACCTTGAGGCTAGCAGACCAGCTCATAATCCACTAGAATTTTTTTTTTTTTTTATTGTGAAGAAAATCTTCTCAGTCTCCATCCCTGGCGTCACTGCCTTTCTGGGTAGGGTCCTGCTCTCCCTTGATGGTCCTGGGCTGCAAAAGCAATCACTCCCCTCCTTTTGTCAAAAAACATCTACCTATACATTTCTGACCCTCACAGTCAGTCCTGATAACAATTATTCACTATTGTACTACAAGAGTCTTATCCCCATCTCCTTTCGCCAGCCTGGTCCCAACAGACTGGAAATCATTCATTGGAGATTCTACCTACCCCTGCCACATCTAGAACTAGGCTCCTTCTTGAAAGCTTGTAAGCCAGTCATTTCTTGCTTTTATAGCCCCCCACATCCTCATTTTGGGTAGCCAATGTCTAAGTTGCCCTGTGACCAAGAGGATGGGAATGATCCTCGCTGTAAAGATTTGTTCCCCTTTTTGAGCTACTAAATCCATAAGTATAGGTAAAGTTCATCAAATTGTAGCAGGTTACTTTTTTTTTTTTTTCCTCCCCTCTTCTTTCTTCTTCTAGTCAAGTTCTGATCATCCTGCCATCAAAGTCACATCACGTGTGTACTATCTGCAAGCATGGGTGTTCTTGTGCATCTCCCCTCACTTTATATCAGCTGGACACTTTACTCTCTGCTCTGGTCCTCTGTGGCCATGTCACTGCTTCTAGGACCAGGAGTCCCTGGGTCTTGCCATACTGCTGGCCATCCAGGTCTCCACCCTGGTTCACAAGGTGAATGTGGTCAGACTTGGCTCCCAATTTCATTGCTGTTTTTTGCTCCTCTTTCCCTTATCAGTGACCAATGTGGTCACCAACCAGACTTCCTGCCTGCTCGTGTATTCCCCCTGAGTCTTAGTCTTGGAAGGGAGTTTGCTCTGAGGGGACCCGACCACTTGTCTTGATGGCTCCCAGGTGAACAGCTTACTCATTCTTGTAGTCATCAATCAGACTGCCATTATTGTTTCTGATTTTTCCTGCCAGTCTTTCTTTCACGATGTATCTTCTGTTCTTCTAGCTGCTCCAGGCTGGTTTATTTCCAGTCAAAATT